TTGTAAAATTGCTTTGCAAGCCGAAGTATATGTACCTGTATATGAATTCAATAAAATGGGCAATGTTGCATGTTTAAAAAAAAAAAATAAAATAAAATCTTAAGAGCCAAATAAAGTATTTAGATCTTAACTAAAAAACTTTAAAAGAAGTCATAATACTAAACTAGTGAACTTTATTAAACTTTGGAAAAATACACTAATAACATAATTATACGATTTACTGTATAGAAAGACCGAAAAAAAAAAATTTAATTCGAGTTATTACGTAGTGACAACTCACACGCTATGTTGATCTGATCTGATCATTGGTTTATAAATTTAATCAACATCTTTATAAAGTAGATTTCAAAGGAAAAAATTAATCTTCATTGCTCCTAGTTTTTGTTTTCCCCTCTCGTGTGATAACCCTACCCGTAATGAAAATAAACGTGATTTTCGGCGCAATACCACGCATGGTAATCGTAATCGGATTGCAAGATGAAAAATATTTAAAGAGAATCGGGCGACCCTTTTTTCTTGGAGGTTTCGATTATTCACTTTAGAATTAATTAAATAAAAACCCTTTTACCGATTAATCTCTTATCATAAGAATAACAACCATGAACCGCAGTTTTATTGTTACATTTATTTTATTAGCTACCCTTTTAATAGTAAACGCCAAACATGATAAAGGAGGAATTGAGTTCAAGGCATGCGAGGGCTTTCCTAAAGACTCATTCCCAGTCTTACTTAATGTAACGGTGGCACCTGATCCTATCAAACCTGGAAAAGATTTGACGTTCAGTATTTCCGGATCAGTGAAGGATTTCGATATCCCAATTGGAACCTATCTTCATATTTTATTTATTCCATCTTCTGGATACTTTGAGTCTTTAGATGTGGATATTTGTTCTGATACTCAATGTCCAATTAAAGCTGGAACAGTATATTCAACAACTCAGACCGTAACTGTGCCCAAAAATCTTCCGCCTAATTATTCGATTATGGTATATGAAATGGTATTCGCACCAGATGCTACTATACCATACACTTGTGCAATTGCTACTATTGGTTCTTAACCTGACGATGTAATTTTTATTCTCCATCTAAATTCGTATTACATACTGTATTATGTTAATGTAACGATAACGATGATAAAATTTTATTATAAAGTATAATATTTATTGATAAAATACTTGATATTCTATAAGTGATTTTAATTTTTTCATTTACGTATCATAAACCAGATTCATTTTTATATTTAATTTATCAGAAGCCTTCTATAAGTGACATTATTATTTAAATACTACAAACTTATATTTTTTACTTTTCATTTATTACAAGTGCTAAAGTTAGTTCGTTATTAATAAAAATATTTCTTATAACGACAGTTAAAAGAATTGATTCAGACTCAAGGATTTTTATTATCTTATTATCAGAGTTACATTATATTATAAATTTTTCATGGTGTCAAAAATCATATTTATAAATTGAAGTTTCTTCGGAAACATTATCTTCTATCCATTATAAAATATATATATATATAATTTGACTTTAGATAATATTTGTAATAGGAAATATAACAAGTTCATGAAGTTTAATAATAAAAAATTTTTTAAAAAAATTTGGTTACAAACTTTTTTCATGAAAATTTTGCATTGATTATATATCTTTTCAAATAGTCCAATGTATGATATATCTTTTAATCGACTTAATTAACAAAAATATATAAATTTTATCAAGTTTAATTAGACGACAACTTAATGTCTTTATTATTTATTCCAAGTTTCATTTATTAATTTTACATAAATTATTATTACTTTCGATTGATTCTTGAATAAAAACTATCCTAAAATGCATACTCTACCATTAACTAACGTTTATTCAAGAATCATGCCTTTTCATTGTTATATTTACGATTATATTATTTCTAGTAGGAATACCGGAAAATAATCTTTACAGTTTCATAGAAATGTCTTGTTTTTCACTTTCCGGGTTCTTGAGTGAGGAGATTTCATAGTCGCAGTAGTAAAATATGAGTCTCTGCTTTCTCAATAGACGCCATTTTAGAGTTCAGAGGTAGAATTGTTTTTTTCTATTAGGCGGAAAAATATCGGTGAATAATTATAAAATTGCAAGGTTCAAGCTTTCGGATACAAAATACGTAACTGCACCGCGGGCATATCCACGTACGTATTTAGAAATAATGAACATGATATTTCCCAGATTTGCTTCGAAATGAAAATGAAAAATACTATATGCATGTAGTACGTATAGGGAGCTGCCGAGCGGAAGAATACAAGGGTTCGTTAGAATTCTCTTTCGCAAATTCCTTGTCAAGAGTAACCTTTTCCAACTATACTATAAAAATATAAGAATCTATCAAGTATCAATCAAAATAATTTAGGGACGAAAGAGCCCCAACATTTTATTTGGCATATGTAGACTTATAAAATTCTGTCCCCTCCTAGAAAACATTCATGCTAGAGTTTCCTAACTGAAGTACTTTAAAGTAAGGCTTGATATGCAAAGGGTTTGGTAAACATATCTTTATTAAACCAATAAAAGAGTAGTCTTTCTTTCGTTATCAGTCGCCGTTTAACGTTTTGACATGATTTATCCTGTTCAAAATTTTTACCGATTTACACATTTACATACTACGTATTTTTTCCACCACTTATTATTTTTATCTCTGTTGTTGCAAAATTTCTTCGTTGCGCAAAGGTCCTAGCGCAATTTTTATTCGACCACGATATTTATTATCGTCAATGATTTGTTATTTTATTATGACATTTATTAAAATTAAATTCCTTTTCCCATAACAATACCCGCCCTAGATAATTTATTATTATTATTATTATTATTATTTTAATTTATTTTGTTAGACGCGTCACATACACTATATGGGTAATTATTTTCGAAGGCGGACAGGGATTTTTCTGTCTTTATAATTGTTTACTCTTAGAATTTATATTGTATATGCATTATTCAAATATAGGGGCCAAAAATTCGGTTATAGCATTTTTGTCGTTTTCAAAAATAATTATCCATATACGTATTATCACAAAGCTAAATAAAAATCAACGAAAAAATTAATTTTAGAGTCCCGTTTGAGCATAACACGGGAACACTTTATTTCTTGATAAATAATTTTCTCGCATATCGAATATCAAAAATCATGAGAAAATGTCGATGACCATTCTCAGAATATATAAAAAAGGAAAATCCCATACTGTGAGAAATAAAATTTCGAGAAAAGAATAATATTTATGTAAAGTCGAATAGAAATAAATAACCAGATAATACAGAAATTACCCCCGCTTTTGCTTTCACCCTTGTGTGATATGTTGATCCTTAATGAAAATAACGTGATTCTCGGTGTATGGCAATCGCGCTCGGACTTTAGCTTCATTTTGTATAAAGAATATTTCTCCTGAATTCTTAGCATTACTGTTTAACACATTTGATGAAAATTTTTTAATATGCGACTGAAACTTTAGCTATGTTACTGATTTGCAAGAATATGATGAGATGAAAAATATTTAAGAATCAGGCGGCCTCTTTTTCTTGGAGAAAGTCGAAGGCTTCAGGCTTCATTTAACTCAATTGTTTTAGAGTTAATAAAATATTATTTCCTTTTACCAATTTATTTCGTCAATAATGTACCGCAATTTTATTTTCGCACTTATTTTATTGGCTACCCTTTCTATAATAAACTCCACACCAATCCTACATGAAAAAAGAGGAATTGAGTTCAGAAAATGCAACGGCTACCCAAAAAACTCAACCCCACCCTTACTCAATGTAAAAGTGACACCTGACTCTATTGAACCTGGAAAAAATTTGACGTTTGATATTTCCGGATCAGTGGATTTCGATATCCCAGCTGGAACCTATCTCAATATTATACTTTTCGTTCCATCACAGTTTGGATACATTCAGGCTTTTGACATGGATCTTTGTTCGGATACACAATGCCCAATTAAAGCCGGAACGGTATATTCCACAACTCGAAAATTAACTATGCCTAAACTACTTCCTTCCAAATATACGATTCTAGTATATGAATTGAACTACTCATCGGAAGTTTCTGTCCCATACATTTGTGCAAATGCTACTATTGGTTCTTAATCTAAATGTTATTATGTAGTCAGATATAATTTTTTTCTTGTCTAGAACGCTAATATTCTTTAACGAGATAATGATGATACTTTTTAAAGAACATATTTTATTTATAATATTTTTAATATACAGTACATTGATATACTCGATATTTAATGGTGATGTAATATTCTTTTAATATCTAATGTAGCGAATGCCTATGAAATAAAAAATGACATTGACTGTATTTTAAAGCAATAGGTATTTTGGAGTACTGTAGCAGATGCTTTCTATACTATGAACAGTTTATTATCAACGTATCATTATAAGTTCAAAAGATACTATCCTCTATTTTAAGTATTTTGCGAGTATTTTTGTAATGGGTAAAATATAGGTTCTACGGAACCTTTATCATTTAACATACTACTGTATATAGCGCTGCTCTTGATGTTATACAGTATAAGCAGCCTTGCTTAGATTGAATAGTATTCGCGGAGTATTATGTGAGGAGAAGGTACCATAAGAGAAGTACTTTGAAAAGAGTATGCGTACTAATAATATGATCATATAATACTATAATAAAGTCAATTTAATATTTTTGGAATCTTAAGATGATATTATCAAATTTAATAATGTTAATATTCTATTATGAAAGTATTATTCATTCATTTTTGTTCATAAAATGGGTTAACCAAAAGCAAATAAAAGAAGAAATACTCAACAACAGTAACAAAAAGAATAAAGATACTGAAATTCATATATAAAAATTACAATTATTATATGCAATCAGTAAAACAAAGTATTTAGTGTACTATGAATTGAAACATATGGTTTTTATTAAGTCTTGTAACTGTATAAAAATTATCTATTATTAATTTATTAATAATAATTTTTGATTTTACAGTATATATAAATAAATTTATAATAAGTAATTATATAAGATTATATCTTATTTTTGAAATATTTAATTATTTTCAATAGTATAAATATTTAAATCATTTTACCTTCAACAAATATATTAATAATATATTTAAATAGCCTTTAACAATATTTTGTTCATAATATTCAACAAAATAGTTGAATAAAAATTTTTAAACATAAATAAATATCAAATAATTAAAAATAAAAACATTAATTTTACTAAATAAAAATATAATTCAAAATTTAATCAAAATCAAAGTTTGTTAAATTGTAACATAAAAGATTTGACAAGAAATTTTTAATACAATTAAACATAAATAATAAATTATGACTTAAAAATTTTTTAAAAAAAATTAAAATATCATATTTGACACTAGTCAAAATTATGTCATTCAGCAGTTGAATTATTATCAAATTTGATTAAATTTAATAATAAAAATATTGCTAAATTCTTTTCGATTGCTGCCACTTAGCATATTACTATTTCAGCAATAAAGTGGCAATCAAAAATTCAGCAATCAAAAATTCAACAATCAAAAAATTTGGCAATCAAAAATTTATTAATTAAAAATTTAACAATAGATTATCAAAAAATTTATTAATGATTTATCAAATAATTCATTAACTATTGAACAAAAATTTATTAAAAGTTTGTTACAAAATTATTTATTAGCAATTCAATAAAAATTCAATATTAATTTATTAACAATTCATCAAAATTTTATCAAAAATTTATCAATTATTTATTAAAATTTGACAACTATTCATCAAAACTATTTATTAAAAATTCATTAACTATTTATTAAAAATTCT